ATAAATAAGTTTCAGAGATCTTGCATTCAGTCCCAAGTCTACCAGTTCCTACTGTCTGAGTTTGTACAAGCCACGTAACAGTCAAGCCTTTATTTATTCACATACAAAAGAATACTAAGAATGCTACCATAATGGGCTTTTATCAGATGACAGATCCAGAAAATGTTCTTAAACACCAAAGACTTATGTAAAAGAGCAAACCCCATCAGCATGGGATATCTGACTAACAGGTTTCTGTTGTCTTTAGACACACAATGAAGTCTGGCACATAAGAAGTTACTTCTCCCTCCGCTCCAGTGGGCAAATCCTTTCTTCACTCACTGACCTTTGCAGTCCATGTCCAGAGAAAACACCCTCAGTCCACTCTCTAGACTGGGTCAGAGGCTTGGGTCTGACACAGAGTACAGAATTCTGTGTGGGAGAGCAGTACCACATAGAAGTTTGTCTTTGGCTATTCTATCCTGAAGAGATCAGGGACAGACCTGAATATATTTTATGTACTGTAAGCAAAGAGATCCACCTCAATTTTACTTAAACTTTTCCTGAGAGGGATTTTCAAGAGTACATATTCTTTGGGGGTAATTAATGTACTCAGCTTTAGCAGCTGCTATCTCAAGTCGTACCTCTTATTAAGGATACCAGCTTTCAAACTGTACTTGCATTGCAGAACCCTGGACAAGACAGAGCAAGATCAGATATGAAGCTTTGGCCATGAATTCATTCATATGTGTGAGATTTCACAAAACAGAACTTAAGGGCCCAAACTCCTTTATTTAACACTGATGACCACTAATCATTGACATAGATCATGATACCCAAAAAAGCACATGAATAAAAAAACTTCCATGAAGACAATACATACAGATGAAGCTTGAATGGCATGCAAAAGGACTCTACAGAAATGGGGTTAATTCCCAAGTCCCAAATTTACTGGCTGTGTGACCATGGGGAAAACATTTAATAGCCATAATCCTCAGTTTCTTCATTTGTAAAATGGGGCCAATGATAATACCAGGGGATGAACATTAAGCAATAGCATAAGCAGGGCTTGTACATAAGAAGAACATTAACAATTACTAACTATTATAACTCTTATTATGAAAAAGGCCTTGACAGTACCTCTACATTCCACACCTTCAGTCAATTCTTCAGTCAAATGTTTCAGTGCCTTCAGAGACAACTACATACAGTGCATAACTGACCCAAAGTTAGCTCTCTCTATTCTCTACAAAGCCACTAAAATGTTTCCATAGATACTAAAACCTCCTGTACTCTATGCCTTCTTAACTCCATTTATTTACTAGCCAAACCTTGTAGACAGTTCACATCAGCTCTTTAGACCTCAATCTTCTTCTGAAGTTGAGATAATAATTGTTTCTTCTCATTCACAGAGCTCACGTGAGGATCATGTGTAATCAGGTACACCAGGCACCTACAAAGGCTTGGTTATGGAGTAACAGCTCAGTAAACAGGCAGTACATGTACCCTTCATCACCACCAAAATAAAAAGCTGGTCCAAGGCCTCAGAGATAGCTCAGCAGGTCTAAGCACCTGCCTGGCAAGAGCAAGGACCCAGGTTCGATCCCCAGCATCACGCCAGCCCCACGTCATGCTGGCCACTGAAACCAGGCATGGTGGCACACACCTGTAATCCCAGTGCCAGGGAGGCTGCAACAGGAGGATCACTATGAGTACAAGCTGTGTATGTAGTGAGACCCTGTACCAAACACATATTTTTTTTAAAAAAAGTTGGTCCAATATAAAATAACATAACCATGCAAGCCTTCAATGACAGTCTTACAAAAGACACTAAGTATTACCCAGAGTCTTTAAAAGATGATCTTTCCTACTGTCTCGTGCATAGTAGTCCTAATTAAATGCCAGCCTGCTCCCTGCCTCCCTTCTTGGGAAAGCCCTGTCTTTTCCTAGTCACTTACTCATAAGTTCCAAATGGTCATAAGTAAAATGCCATACATCAGCGTGGTCTGGTTGCTGAATAAGCAAAACTCTAGCTTTCTCCTTGGAAAACACTCAGGCACCAGGATGAAACTCTGGCTGAATACCAGTGGATCCATTCCTGCCCCCAAAGGCAACCACTCACTGGGTGCCAGCCAAACTGACTCCACAGTCACGTGTGATGCTTCACTCTCAAAGGTAAAGCCCAGAGGCAAGCTCTTTAACTCCTGTAATGTATTTCTGATTCTTTTTGTGCCCATCACATAAAGGCACCAGCATCTGTACAACATAACATATTCCTTGCCAAGGAGGCAAGGCAAAAGAGATAATGCGGGTTAATTTGAGTTTGCAAGCCTGGATATCTATTTTTTGGTTGAGCTCTATATATGCTAATTAGCAATCCAAACAGCAGAAAAGGTTATAAACAGAAAGGTATTTAATTACTGGACCTAGGAAAAAATATATATATATTTTTAAAGAGACTATTCCAAGTTACCCAACATAATTTTTGTTGGGGAATTTCTCCATTACCAAAAAGTACCCAAAAGTCCTATTCCCAAGAATAACCAAAAAAATAACACAAGCCACATCAAGTTTCCAAATATCCTGCTTATGAAGTATATCCCAGCAACATTTTGTGGCATTTCCCTGAGTTTTCCTTGTACTCTGGGGGCAGTAACCTCAAACCCTGCATTTAAAAAAAAAAAAAAAACAACTGTAATCCACCTAAGACATTTCTAATAATGTACCCTGTCCAAATATGTAAGCATGGGAAGAAATATGAACTGTGGTTATCCATCAGTAATAAATTAAAACTTTCACATTTATACAAAAGATAATTACTCAAAAGCCCAGCCTCACAGAGTATGACTTAAGAGTTAAAAGATACAGACTGGGGATAATGAGTTCTTAACTAAATGTATACTCACATTCAGAAAACGAATTACAAATTATGTCATCCTGAAGAAACATTGACATTTCTAGCCTGGTTCTATTTTCTTCTCATGTTCATAGGTAGGCCACACTTTTATTGTGGCTCGGGATCTATTTTTCTACCTAACCTTACAAAACAATATTACACACACACACACACACACACACACACACACACACACACCTATCAGTCACATCTGCACTTAAATTCAGTTACCTCAAACTAAGACCAAAAGCAGCTCCATATAATTTGACTTTAACCCTATCCTAAAGCATCAGTGCAATAAATATGCACAAATTATCCTACAAATACCAGAAACTATCCTTATCACCGGCTGCATAAAGAGTATACTGTAACACTATCTGACTGTGCAGAAAGTTAGTGACGACTATTAATTTATCTAGAAGGAATTTTCAACCCAGCAGTCTAATCAATGTCACAGCCTCTCGAGGGGCGTGCAATAAGAACAGATAAAGGATGCAAAATGCTCCTACAACTGCATGTTCCAATGTATTACAATCAAGTGAGTGCCTGGCAATTCTGTTTAATTCCAGATACTAACCACTCATCAGTCAGGCTAGTTAGTGTAAGAGAATTACAGTTTCCAAAGACAAAAAATAATAATACTTTACTTTTGGTTGCAAACAAACCTACCTAGGTGGTATTTACCCATCCACATCAAACTTCATTTCAATCACCTACCAAAGACTCCGGAGAGACCTCTAGAAAGCATCCCCAACTGGAACGAAATGTTCATACTAATTCAAACACCTGGCTGGCAGCACCAACAGAGCTCTCACCTCTACTAAAATTTAGGGCTCTCATGCTTCCAAATACCAGTTCTCCACATATTAAATAAAGCATACGTGAGTATCAAAACCGGTATCAAGACAAGTTTGCCTAAAGAAATTTAAGCTTCCCAGTATCAGGGCAGGCTGACCAGGGTGGTCCTAAATTAGAAGGTGCTCCCCCAACCTCACAGAGAATCACACAAAACCCCAACCATAATCTCCCTAGGGAAACCACTTTTCCTAACATCCACCCCAGGAAGCCTTATCAGTAGGAATAGGTTTAACAGATCCATTGAGGAGGATGCCTGAGGGCACTTACAGCCCACGATGCTGTGCTCTAGAGCAAATGTCCTATTTTCACTGAGACTCCAGAAGCTTCTGTCGCTCCTGGGCTTGCAGGTTCCTTCTTACTCATCTCACTTTACCATGAAAGTTGCTTAAAAATTTAAAGGAACTCGCTTGGGCCCGGACTCTACCCCTACACACCACCGGTGGTTTTTTTTGGAGGTCCTGTCAGGAAGAGCTATTCCTTTTGCAGCGTCAGGTCCCACTTCTCGCCATCTGGTCAGCTGTGCAGACTGCATGGGCCCAGATCTCCCTTCTAGGTCTGTGAGTGCCCTACAGACCTGGAGCAGCAGCCCTCAGACCTACCAAAACCCATGAGAAGGGGGGAACCTGACAGCGCGACTATGACTATGCGTAGATTCCCTTCCACCTGGGCTGCTGGCACTTCAGGCACCTAGGACTAGCAGGGAGGAGTGCTGGGGTGGAGACAGTCACAGCCCCAGTTCCTCATTTTCCTTTGGGTTTTTTCCACCGGCCCTTATCTGCAGCTAAGCCAACCCGGCCGGCAGAGAAGTGCGTTCACTCCCCATCTAAGTCCCTCGCTGGTGACCTTGGCCACGCTGCTACTTCACCTCTCTGCCCTCGGTGGCCTCACTGTTACTTCGCGGGTTAGGGTAGGGTCACTATGAAGTGGAAGCGCAGACAGAATACCTGCCACTCAGGAAAGGTTAGAGACAGGCAAAGGACCTCTCTCTCGGGCTTGCCCCGCCGTCCAGAGCTCACTCAGTCCTTCCCAACCTGCAGTCTCCGGACCTTGGAACCTGCAGGGTCCCCGAAAAAGCCGGCAAAAGAGAAGGACGCCTGCGTGATGTCCCCTCTTCAGCCCGGAGCCCGGGGCTCGGGAGGGGGTGTGGCACCCCCAGCCCAACGCCGCCCCCCGGCCCGGCTCGGAGGGCAGGACGTCGGCCGCCAGGCAGCGGCTGCGAGCCGGCGACGGGCGGCGGGCGGCGGGCCAGGGACCCGGCCCGACCTACCTCCTCCAGCAGCGTGACGGTGTTCCTGCAGTTGTGCAGCCGCGTGGTGAAGCTGGACGTGGTAGGCGAGTTGTAGTCCTCGGTGGTCTCGGCGATGAACTCGGACACGGAGATCTGGTCCGGCATCCTGCCCAGGGGACGAGACACAAGCGGGGGCGGGGGTTGAGGCGCGGCGCGAGCTCCCGGGGCCGCGGGCCGCCCGGCGGCGCATGAACGCCCCGCGCGGAGCCGAACCGC